CGGAAGCTTCCTCAGGGTCTAGCACGTTTGGGCATTGGCAAGAGCAGCCTCCTGGACAAGCCAGCACTATATAAGACTGGCCCGCCCTACAGGCAGGAGGCAGTTGTAGTCTTCAGGATTCAGAAGCAGCACTCTGGAGGGAGCGCTGCAGAGTAGTAGTAGCGTTAGCTTGTAGTCTTCAGCGCTGGGCGCAGTAGGTAGCTGTAGTCTCCAGCGCTGGGCGCAATAGCTAGATAGTACTAGAGAGAGAGAGAGATTGGGCGGAGGCCAGAGGCACTTACCTGCAGCGCCGTTGCTCCAGCTTCGTCTTCAAGGTACCTGCAGCACACCGCCAATACCACAGGTCAGTATCTGGCTCGTAATAGTGAGAGAGAGTTCTCCTTCCTCTTCTCAGTCCACCATCTCCTTCTCCCCCTCTCAACATCTGACTTCACTGCATCTGCAAACTACGAGAGAAGAGAGACAGAGTTCGGTGACATCGGATCCAGACTCGACTTTTGGGACTTCAGACATGGCAATGAGGGATTATTTGGGATTGGTGACAAAGACTTGCCATGTTGACGACATCCCCATCTCTCTCCCTCCTTTCGTCTGATTCGTTCCTCTTCGACTGTGTATGTCTGGACCTGGCGCTTTCTTCCTGTGTACAGCGCCAGGCTCCTTCACACCTAGTGAGGGATCGATGTATGTTTGGTCTGAGTTCAAACATTGATTGACCTAGTTATTAGCATTCTAGCATTTTGCTTCGTTACTTTGTACTACGTGAATGAGGTCAGTTCCGGTCAGGTCAGTCTTTGTATTTAAGTCTTCCCTGCGCTATTCAGCACCATTATGTATGCATGAGAATGCACATTGCTTGTCGAGATTCTATTCGCACCGCATTGTCCATTCAGTCATTTTCATCACATTGCAGATCCTCGGTTATTACGTACATTGCATATCTGTGCATGTAACAGTTGGTATCGGAGCTTTGCACGCGAATCAGGACAACCTGATCTGACACGTGTGCGGGGACTAATTAGCTGGTTAGTCTTTATTGATTGATTAAAACACAATAGTTAGACCCCAAAATCACGATTTTGACCTCACTACCGAAAATTGATTTTTTTTTTTTTCTTGGATTTTATTTTCTCGCTGTTCTGTTGTGGAAAATCACAATATCGCAACATCTGAAATTCCCATTTTTGTTTTTTCTTCTGAAAATTCGAAATTTCGCTGTTGAAAATCCGGAATATTTTTCTTTTCAAAAATTTTGATTTCCTGTTGCATTTCCCGTTACTTAGAAATTTGGAATATTTTCTTTCTGAAATTCTTTTTTCTGAAAATGGTACGGGAAATCCCTCCTGTGGTACTATTCTTCAAAACTGTGAATATTCTCATCGGAATAAATCCGAATACTTGTCATTTCTGTTCGGAATTTTTTTCGCAGTTCTGGGATTCTGTCGTTCAGTTCTATAAATCATTGGCTGTGTAAAGTCGAAATTTTTCTTTTCTCTTTCAGTGATCATTTCGCACTTCAAGGAAGGTTGGGAGACCTACCGAACTTGCAAAAATCGGGATTTTTATTTTTCTCGAATTTTTTTTTGCAAAGTTTAAACTTTTCTTGTTTGATTAGTGGCTCCTTATCTAAGTGATTAGTTGGGCGATTATCCTACCCACCCCTCCCCACCTATGTTGTTGCCATCCCTCTCCTTACCTTCTCTACTTGACTCCGGGTACCCCCTGCGACGACATTGGTGAGTTGCCACGTCAGCAGGCCCGCGGCCTAGTACATGTTGTTGCGGTCACAAACAGCTGTCATGGATCAGAGGCCCGGTGAAGCAGACGAGGCCTATCAGGCCCAGATGCTGGCTTGGAGTACCGAGACAAAGAAACGGGCAGATGATGCAGCTGTAGCAGCGAAAAAGAAGGCAGAGGATGCCAAGCAGGCACGTCTATTGCCGATTGAACAACAGCGCCAACATGACGAGGTAGCAGCAAAGGCTGCCGATGAAGAGAGACACCAACGTCGTGAGAAGATCTTTACCGGAGAGCAAGCGTTACTTACAATGGCAGCGGAATGGCGGCTCGAGGTCGAGAATAGCCAGTTGGAGGATAGCGCAAACAAGATAGCRCTCCTCCTCTCGCATCTCACAGACCTCCTTGCAACCTGCATTACACAGCAGGAGGAGATCCACGATCTCGACACTCGCTAGCTCGCGTCCAAGACCGCCTTTAGCGGTTGGAGCAGCGACCAGTCGCCACCGCCGACGCAAGCTCTTCCAACACTTCTGACCGCCTCAACGCATTGGAGATGGACATCGGCTCACTCAAGGATGGTGTGCAATTGAAGCAGACCGCGACACAATAGTTGCAACATCGGATCTGCACTACCGCCAACACCTCGAGTTCAGAACCGCGTGAGACAGCTCCAAAGTTCGATGGGCAGAAGATCTTTTGCGACTCAATGAAGACAAATCCGGTTCCATGGTTTCGCAAGTTCGAGCTCACGCTGCAGCTCCACAACGTCAAGGAAGACAAGCACCACGCATACTTGTACTCTCGCTCAGGGGGCGCGTGTCAGGCTTGGTTGGACAACCTGTTGTCCAAGTACGGAGTGGTAGCCAACGACTTGCACACCAAGATCAGTTGGGATGATCTGAAGGTGGCGTGGCACAAGCGGTTCCAGGTGGAGCCGCTGGAGATCAAAGCCATGGACAAGCTCATGGTCTTCGAGCAAGGCACGCTGCCGAGTACGGACTGGATCGCCGAGTACCAACGCTTGACGTCGGTCCCAGACATCGAGATGGGCTTCAAAGCCACCCGCCATTACTTCATCTCAAGGTCATGTCCGACATTAAGCAATGCCCTGACGCATGTTGAGGACACCTTGACGACGACGGCGGAATTGTTTGACAAGGCCGCGCAGATCATCATCACAAACAAGGAGGCCAAGAACCTCCGTTCATCTGCGTCAGGCCCGAGCAGGGACCAGCATTGGCCAAGAGTGGTCGTGGTCGCAGCGACAACGCCGTTTGACAAAACCAGCGAGGTTGTGTCTGCCAGTGAAGGGGACAGACTCGCAGCCGCCCGGGAAGTGGCCGCCCCGGCAGAGGCCGAGGACGCGGCAAGACGAAGACACACACCACATCTAGCCCCGGGCCTGGTGCAGCAGCTCAGACAGGCCCATGGTCCCAATATGGCATCTCCGAGCAAGCATTCAAAGCACGCGAGAGATTCCATTATTGCCTTTGGTGCAACAACGATCTTCATCAGACGCAGGTCTGCCCATTGAAAGGCAAGGGCAAACAGGGAAACTGAGCACCGCTGAGAGTGACTCGACGACACTCTCGACGCCTTCGGAACCGGTTTCTTTGCGAGTAACCGGCCTTCATTCCGAGGCGCACGCGGAAGTCGATAGTCCTCCTCTTCTACTTTATTTTGAGGACTATGCTGCCCGACTCGTTCCTACGCTGGGTACTCAAGCTCAAGGACAAGGAGTGTGTGCGATTTCTTCTTCGTCCGGCAACGGCGACATATTGTCTTCAAGTGGTTCTTCACTGGCCTTGGCAGACAAGTTCGAAGGAAGGCAAACCCGACGGCGATCAAGTTGGTGGATGGAAAGACGCAACAACTTCTCGACCGTGACATCGAGGCCGTACCGGTCTACTTCGCACCTCATGCATGCGAACCGGTGACATTCGATATTCTTGACACGGACTTCGACATCGTTCTGGTAATGCCTTGGCTTGCAAGTGCGGATCACACGGTCAACTTCCATCGGCGGACTCTTAGCGTTCGCGACGCCTCCTGCGCGGAAGTGGCGTGTACTATTCCTCTACCGCACACTTCGATCCGGTGCCAAGTGGTGATGGCCAAATCATTCCGAGCGACTTGCGCTTACGAGCAGCCCGAGGAGATCGGCCTATGTTTCCTATGGACCGTCGCGGTAGCCGACTCTTCACCCACGGACTTGTCTTCAGACCCCCGTGTGATGCGGTTGCTGGACGAGTTCGCCGACATCTTCGAGTCACCTACCGGTGTGGTGTCGGATCGGCCGATCTCGCAGAAGATCATTCTTGAGGCCGGTGTCGTGCCGCTGAAAGGTTGCATTTATCGGATGAGCAAGGAGGAACTTGAGGTCCTCCACGCACAACTCGATGATTTGCTGGCCAAGGGCTGGATCCGCCCTAGCAGCTCCCCATATGGAGCACCAGTTCTCTTCGTCAGGAAGAAGAACAAGGATCTACGATTGTGTATCGACTACCACAAGCTCAACGCGCAAACCGTCAAGAATGAGGGGCCTCTTCCTCGCATCGACGATCTTCTTGAGCGATTGGGCGGCGCAAAATATTTTTCTAAGTTGGATTTGAAATCGAGATATCATCAAATCTCGATCCAGCCGAACGATCGCTACAAGACCACATTCAAGACGTGGTACGGGCATTTTGAGTGGGTGGTCATGCCTTTTGGCCTCACCAACGCCCCGACGACGTTTCAGGCGGCAATGACCAATGAATTCCGTGCAATGTTGGACCGGTTCGTGCTGGTCTACTTAGACGATATTCTCGTCTATAGCCGGTCATTGGAGGATCATCTTGGGCATCTTCGACGAGTGTTGGAGACGCTCCGCCGYGCCAAGYACAAGGCCAACCGCGACAAGTGCGAATTTGTCCGGCAAGAGCTGGAATACTTGGGCCATTTTGTCACACCAGAGGGCCTCAGTCCGCTATCGGACAAGATTCAAGTCATCCAAGAGTGGTCGGAGCCTCGGAACGACATGGATGCCTGCTCGTTCTTTGGTCTCGCCAACTACTATCAGTGTTTCATCAAACTTGAAGGCTACTCGAAGATCGCAGCCCACTTGACCAAGCTTCGATGCGAGGATCGGCCGTTCGACTTCGGAGAGCAGGCGCGGGATTCATTTTTGGCTCTCAAAGCCGCGCTATTATCGGCGGTGGTCTTGCGGATATACAACCCGCTTTTGCCTACGCGCGTCACTACGGATGCGTCAGGCTATGGCATTGGTGCAGTCCTTGAGCAACATGATGGTGTGGACTGGCACCCGGTTAAGTATTTCAGCAAGAAAGTGCCCGTCGTGCATTCCATTGACGATGCATGCAAGAAGGAGCTCCTCGCCTTCGTCCACGCGCTCAAGCAGTGGCGGCACTTCCTCCTTGGTCGAAGACAATTTCGATGGGTAACGGACAACAATCCGTTGGTCTTCTGTAAGACCCAAGACACCGTCAACAGCACCATCGCTCGATTGATGGTTTTTAATCTACCAATTCGACTTCTTTCCCGATCACATTCTCGGGAAGTCGAACCATTTTGCGGATGCTCTTTCACGGCGTCCGGATCATTGTACCGCGGTCTACTCAACCTTCGAGATCGACGACGACCTACGGAACAGCTTCATCCGCGGCTACCAAGCCGACCCCGAGTTTCGCAACAAGTACGCGAATTGCTCCTCTCCTAATCTGACTCCTTCTCACTACCGGATCCARGAGGGGTACTTGCTTGTCCACACGCGGGGGAAGGACCTTCTTTGCGTATCGAGTGATCCTCACTTGCGTACACGGCTTCTTGGCGAGTCCCACGATGCTCCCGCCGCCGGACACTTTGGAGTCAATCGCACGATTGGCCGACTTCGCCAGCGATTTTGGTGGCCGGCCTTCTCGGCGAAGTCACGCGCTATTGCGAGTCATGCGAGGTTTGCCGACGTTGCAAATCCCGAAACCATCGTCCGTACGACGAGTTACGACCATTGCCAGTCCCGTTGAGGCAAAGGGAAGCGATTGCCATGGACATTACCGGGCCGTTCCCCAAGCACAAGACCGGAGTGGATGGGATTCTCACGGTGGTCGACCGACTCACCAAGTTCGCCATGTTTTTGCCTTGTCGCTATCATGCCAAGGCACCGGAGTTGGCCGAGGTTCTTTACGCCGGTTGGATTCGAACCAAGGGTTACCCTAAGGAGATCGTCTGCGACCGCAACACTCGGTTCATGTCCGATTTTTGGTTGGCGCTCATCAAGCGATGGGGCTCATCTCTCAAACCCAGTTCAGCTCGCCACCCTCAGACCGATGGCCAAGCGGAGAGAGCGCACCAGACCGCACAGGTTCTCCTTCGCACTCTCATTCGTCCTGACCAGAAGGACTTGGTTGAGCGGCTGCCGGATGTCGAGTTGGCCTACAACTCTTCCATCCACCCGGCTATCGGGATATCACCTTTCGATTTTGAGCACGGCTCGCCGGTCACTTCACCGTTGGACACTATTACTCCACGAACGGCCGAGAGCGACGACCATCTTATTTTCTTGCGTCGGTTGCAAAAGCTTCTTGTCAAGGCACGTAACCAGATGGCTAAGACGCAGCAACGCATGAGCCAGCAGGCCGATTGCCAACGTCTTCCTTGCCCATTCCGTGCAGGGGACCTCGTTTGGGTTTCCGCAGCGGAATTCATCCTTGAACAAGACATCTCTCGCAAGCTCCTCCCGAAATGGATGGGGTCTTGGCCGATCATAGCACCCGCTGGAGACGCACCCGAGGGACCTTCCTTCACGATTCAGGTGTCTGGCCACTTGCCCGTCTACCCAGTCTTTCATTGCTCCAAATTGGCTTTTTACACGCCAGCGGAACATGACGATTTTCCCGGAATACATTCGCAAGACCCACCCTCTATGGATGGTTTTCAGGAGGTCGGCGACATCATCTCCCACCGGCGCTACGGCAACAGGCCAACCGAGTATTTAGTGCATTTTGCCTACTGCACACACCGAGATGACCGTTGGTTGACCCGTGCGGAACTTCAAGCAACAGCTCCTGACGTTCTCACACGCTACGAACGCAAGATGCAAGGCAAGCCGGTTTCTTCGGCTGCACGCCACGCCCGCGTCCAGGTTCACCTTCAGATCGTCGACTTCGCCCTCGCCCCGACTTGACTTCATAAGGAGGCGGGGGTGTTGCATGCTGCGCCTGCACATGCGGGCCATTTTCCAGGCCCTGCGTCCTTCAGGCCGAAAGCCTGAATTTAAGGCTGAAAACCTGAAATCTAGGGCTTACAGGCCCCGTGGCTGTTTCAAGCCGGAAGCCTGAAATCTAGGGCTTACAGGCCCCGTGTCTGTTTCAGCCCGAAAGCCTGAAATCCAGGGCTTACAGGCCCCGTGGCTGTTTCA